CGCGCGTCGTCTCTCTCTCTCTCTCTCTCTCTCTCTCTCTCTCTCTCTCTCTCTCTCTTCTTCTCTCTCTACTGTCTACTCTACCTCTCCTACTCTTCTCTCTTCTCCTCTCTCTCTCTCCTCTTCGTCGCGCTCTCTCTCTCTCTCTCTCTCTCTCTCTCTCTCTCTCTCTCTCTCTCTCTCTCTCTCTCTCAAGAGTTAACCATGCTCTCTCATTCTGGCCGCCAAGAAAAGTAAAGAAAGAAAAGTGGTTCAAAGAAGGTAAAAATGTCTGTACCGCTACTCTTTCTTAATGGCATAAAACTATATCGCGGACAAAATTGCGGAATATAAACTTATTAATATATCGGCCGATAGATGGCGGGAATGATAGTTGTTTATAGGTGCATGTGTATCACACGCACCACACACGCAGACGCGCACGCACACACGCATGCACGCGCATAAACGCACAAACGTACGCACACACACACACACACACCTTTTCGTTTTACCCATGTGTCTTCCTCTCTGTTGCTCTCTCTCTCTCTCTACCTCCCTCTCCCCCTTCTCTTTCCCTCTCTATCACCCCACCCCCTCGCTCTCCGGGGCTCCGGCTCTTCCTCCCCGCAGCTGCGTTGTGAGACAGCGATTGGCCGTGCGGTAAAAAACCAATGATCGCAGGAGCACGGCTCTTGATGCTGAAAGCAATACTTTCACGGCAGCTGCGATCGTCAATTAGTCAGCAGCAGAGAAATTGATGCCCAGTTCGCACGAGTGATTCAGAGATCGCCGTCACGTGACTATTGTCGTCGTCTGGATATTCTCTCGGCATTCACTGATTACGTACTTGATTTATGCGCCGCCTGATCGTAGAGATATGGCGTCTCTATATCGCAACAGAATTTATCGCTATTTAATTCGCTGGAATTTCATCAATGATTGTTATGCTATATGCTACACTGTTTTTTCATGGGAAAATTAAAAACATTTCACTAGATAATATTCTAATAATTAATGTCGAATTCCACAATTTTCTCTCTTAATTACTGATACGAAATTGTTCTCTATATCTCAGTTTATATACGGTGTATTCATGTAATGTGACTTTCTATATCTTTATATCCTGTCTTGAAAACGCTTGCCGATATAATATTGAATTATATATAGTCGATTTCCGTCGCTTTCTTAACTTAAATACGGATGTTTACGAGCCTTTATGCGTCAATTAAGTGGATCCGGTGCATGCGTTGTGCTTGCATATATGCTATTACGAATATATGACCGTGATCATATAATGCATTCTGGACACACGAGAACATATTTATGATAGGCGATGGTCGTAAAGTGAAGTTTTAGTTTATGATCATAGTTCACATAGATGGGGGGTGGGGATAGGTACCACATGACGAGCGAATTTGCTAAATGATAAGATATATGCTGGCATGAAGCTGAGCTGTCTCATATTAAGCAGTATTTTCTGTATTTAATTGCGGTAACTGAAAAAACGCGTGTTGTTCGTTAATAGTTGCGCGCACATTATATCGCACAAAATATAGCATTTTTCTAATCCGCACACAAGCGCGCACACACACACACGCACGCACGCACGCACTCTCTCACACACATACACACACACACACACACCACCCACACACACACACACACACACACACACCACACACACACACACATAAGTATAAGACACGAGTATCACAATAGTCTCATATTTCACAT